CTACATTATATAGCAGCTACTCAAATATCCCTCTGTAATTGGGATCAATTGCCACAGATGAGAGAAGAGAGCTTTTTCTTGCATTTCACTTCGGTAACATAAAAAATCCAAGATGGCCAGGTGGCAGTACATAATAATCAAAACACTAAATATGAAGAGCAACAACAAAAAGAATATTAAAAATTGCAAGGGAAAAAACAAGTAACATATAAAGGCAGACCTATTAGAATTATACCTGACTCTTCAATGGAGACTATAAAAGCCAGAAGGACCTAGGCAAATATGCTGCAGACTCTAAGAGTCCACAGATGCCAGTCCAGACCACTATAGTCACCAAAACTTTCAATCACCATAGGAAGAGAAAATAAGACATCGCATGGTAATAAAACAAATTTAAGCAATATCTACAAATCCACTCCTACAGAAGGTGCTAGAAGGGAAACTCCAACCTAGAGAGGTTAATTACACCCAAGAAAACACAGGAAATAATTTCAGACTCCAGGCAGTGGTGGCACACACCTTTAATTCCAGCATTCGGATGGCAGATCTCTATCAAGGCCAGCTGAATCTACAAAGCTACAGAGAAATCCTGTCTCAAAAAACTCAAAAATAATAGTAATAAATAATAATTTCAAACTAGCAAAGTTAAAGAAGGGAAGCCCTATGCACACAAGTATGTATGTGCATACACCATTGTTGGAAAAAATGATTACAGTTGGGTGGTTTGGGGTTTTTGTATTTTTTGTTTTGTTGGTGTTGCTTTATTTTTGTTTTGTTGTATTGGGTTTTTGTGTTTTGAGAAAGAACTTAAAGCTATGTGGGTAGGGATGAGGGAAGGGTCTGGAAGGACAGGGGATGGGAAATATGATCATAATATATTTACATTTCAAATTTAAAGTAGTTTTAAATAATAAAAATATATAGAACGAAAAGAAAGTGCTGTGACTTCAGATGCCAACCAGTCAAGAACTGTTTTTTTTTTTTTTGTTTTTTTGTTTTTTTTTTTTATGTTCTATTGGATGCCAACAAGGTGTTAGTCACTACTTTTAGGAACACTCATTCCAGGCATCTCTATTGCTTTTCCAAACTATAATCGTCAAAAAGAAAGAAATAACACCCTTTAGGATATGTATCAAATGTTCCTGAGCCATAAGCAGACATCAAAAGATGACTAGGTGATGGAGGAAAAAAAAAGTAAAAGTTACAATCCAGCTGTCTCTTCAGTTCTGGGATAAATCATTTCTCAATGTCACAAAGTATAACAACAAAAAAAAAAAAGATGATGGAGTGGAAATTGTACTTGGAAGTGGCAGCCATATCAGTACGTTGGTCGGGAACATTGAACTTACTACAGCTGAGCATTTTATTATCAATGCCAGGGAATTGGGGTTGCCTTTTGGTGTTCTTAGTCTCATTAAGAAAGGAATTTAAGAATGGGCTCAAATATGAATTTGAGAACAATGTTATTAGTTTAAAAGAAAAACATCCTGAAGCATCTGAGGGTAGATGAGCTGAAAAATCTCAGCAGATGCCCAGAGGAAGAGAATGGAGAAGTGGGAGGGGGAAGCCATGCTGTTTCCGTGGGTGGGGAGGTCAGATACAGTGTGAAGAAGCAGCCACATGGCAGGGAGGGAAGCATTAGAGAAAAAGTAAAGAAACAGAATGTTGGAGGGAAGCCTGAAGTGCTAGGGGAAGCATGCTGAGAGCATCCATAGCAAGAAAAGGGAAAGTTTTGTTGTTTGTTTCTGAAAACATTCAGAAAACAGAACCAAAATGGTCATGTTCCATAAGAGACTGTGATAGAGGGTGGGAATTCAGAGAAGGAAAGTACAGTATCTCATTAATGCCTACTTATCTCTTTAGTGTTGCTTCAGGTAAGCCTCCCTTCCTAGGGGTAATCCTTTGGCCAGGTGATTGGCCCAAACCAACAGCAATGGAAGGTCTTCTTCCCAGGACAGAGCTATTTTCTTAATTAGAAGGGTTTTTGTTGTTGTTTGTTTGTTTGTTTTGTTTTAAGGCCTTTATTGCTACTCTTACAGTATCAGGCTTATTAGAAATATTTCCACAATGATCATGCTTGGGTAAATTTTAAAGAATAACTTGGAGAAAATATTTGATTCAGTGCTACAATTAGTAATGTCCCATTGTGAGATACATGGTCTTACCTGTATCTCTTTCAAGATGCTTCTCAAAGTAGTCGGATGTGGGAGGAGACACTTTGAGCTATCTTGAGTTATTAAACTTATATAGTGTTCCAGAAATTGTGATCTCATTTAATCCCACTAACAGGAGCTATGATCATTTAAAAAGGAATTGGAGCACTTGCCCTAAATGGTGGCACTAGGATAAAATAATGTTGACTCAAGTAAAATTTACTTAGCACTGGGGAGGCCAGACAAATAAGACATGATCCTATGCCCTGCCTTAAATGCTATGAACGAAAGATGAGCAGGCTACAGTGGGAACAAGGCGCATCCTAGGCTCTTCATGATTTTCAAGAGCAAATTCTATGGCTGAACATACTGATCAGAGTCTTCAACTCCCCGGTCCATCCACCAAGTTCCGGGGTACTGCGGTTGCCGTTTTCCCAAAAGACCAAAGATGCCAGCATTAGTTTCGGGGAGCTAATGTTCTGGGGAATTTAGGTCTAGGAGACTTATCTTCACTCCAACCTCCACCTCATCAGGGCCGCTTTAGCCCCTACCTCTATCCACAGTACTGATCCTGTTCTCTTCCCATCCGACCCGGTACTCTTGGCATCAGGGACGTGGGGTGACCCGGACTCCGGGATTCACACCGGAAACGGTGGCCGTGTGTGACGTAAGAGGAAGTGCAAGACACCGGGGCCTGTGGTTGGGCGTTTCAGGAGTTGGTGCCTCACTCTGAAGGTTCCCCTGCGTCCGGATAGCTGAGCTGTTTCAGAGCTCCAGGAACTTTCCTCAAGCTCAGCCAGGTTGGTTCAGCCCACCCAGCACCGGGCTTGCGGAGCGTGTGAGGACTGCCTATGGTCCGCTCCTGGGCCACCAACTGGAGGGGAGTCGGTCTGGATTAGGGAACGGAACCGAGCCCTACCCATCACATCAGCAGGCTTCACCTCAACCCTGAGGGCAATACTGACTCCTGCGCTTGTGAGGGAGAGGCTGGAGCTCAGACGGTAACGTCAGCTGCCACAGTGTTTGCAGGTGTGACAGGGACAGATCTGCATTCAAAGCAAGTTCCAGCTACTGTCAGAGCCATTGTTCCTTTTAAGGTTTCCAGCATCAGGGTTGCAGGGATCTTGGTTAGTAGATAAGTTCAGGAACTCCGCAAACTGAGTACATTTCAGACGGCACTCTAGAATTTTTATTTTCATTAGTCACCCCAGACAAGTGACAGACATCGTTCTCTTGTGAATGAGGAGGAAGGTGAATCGGTCGGAGGCCTTCGGGGACTACCGTTAGTCCTCGTCTTATGCCTTTAAGACCTCAAATATGATTTGATTTTTTTTTAACTCTTTGGGGCAGATGACAGCCTCTGTATTTCCCTACCTAATAAAATGATCAGCATGTGATGGGTTGTTGCTGATGAGACAAAGTCTGAATATTTAGCTTAGGCCTCCTGAATGCTGGGATTGCAGGTGTGTAAACCACGCTATTTAACTAAGGAAATTCAATCATAGAGTCCTGAGCCTAGATCTGTTCCATTGTATCAGAAAGTCTAAGAGATGGGCTGGCGATCTGTAGGCTGATCATTAAGATAAGTGTGCTCTTTGGGAACTTGAAGCTAGACACATTAAGAAGTAGCTTGTAAATTCAGAGCATGTGGCAGGACCCTCCTGGATTCTGTATTTGCTACAGAGTAAAATTTATAGACAAAAAATGTAGGGGGTTTGATTAGCTCAAGGCTGAGACTTGATAAAAGTTGAACTTTCAGTCAGTATTGATTTCCTGAGTGACTTTGTAAGTCACTAAACCTTCTGATGCCTGTATATATTAGCATGTATTACCCTTCACTGCTTGTTATAAGCACAGAAATGGATTCTTTTATAAATCATAATTTTGGAAGTGATACATGGATATTTTAATTTTAAATTAATTTTAGTTGACATTACTGTATTATAGTCTACTGTGACATTTTGATATATGCTTGTGATGTAAAATGAGTGCATCAAATTAATACATCTATTAACTTCACACACCTTTTGTGATGGAAATATTTAAAATCTACTCATAGTAACTTTGAAATATCCAGGGATTTGATGTTTAAGGCCATTGTTCTGTACAGTAGATCAGTAAAGTTTGTTTTTGTTCAAGTGAAACTTTGTACTTTGGATCCACTGTGTCCTTTTCCCCATTTAGCCCCCTTCTCTAGTCGCATTCTGTTCTTAGGGGTTCAGCTTTCTTAAGTCTTTGTGTGTGAGGTGATGTAGCACTTGTCTGTGCTTCTTACACATGGCAAAAGTCCTTCAGGTTCCTCTGTCATAGGTGCTTTTAAAACTTCTGGGGAAGTTCACACCAACAGTGGTAAGTAGCAATGCACCCGGACTTTTTTTGCTTGTTTGTTTTTTGTTTGTTCTGTTTTTTGTTTTGTTTTATTGTTTCAAAACAAGGTTTCTCTGGGTAGCTCTGGCTAGTCCTGGAACTCAATTTTTAGACCAGGCTGGCCTCAAGCTCACAAAGATCCTCCTGCTTCTGCCTCCTGAGTGCTGGGACTAAAGGCGTGTGCCACCACACCTGGCTTGGCCTGTTTTTCAGTATTCATGTTGCAGACTGTAGGGATGCCACAGTTGCTCATGTTCTGCTCTTGAGACTAATATGAGTAACACCATTTGTGTTAGACACCTATTGAGAAAGTGCTGTGATGGCCAGCAGTCCAAGTGAAGTCAGCCCTTGACAGAGACGTTGTAAAGACAGTTGACTTTATATACGTCCTTGAGCCGTGTCTTCCCACCAGAAGGCCTATAATTACCCTTTACTAGGCCAGCCTTTAATAAAACACTTGTTTCTTTTTTAAAACAGGTATCCCATGGTTTGAATTGGGAATGAACTCTTCTGAAATATCAGGACAGAAATCTTTTTGTTCAACATGGACGACAAAAGACGCCGAGCCCGGGTGCAAGGAGCCTGGGCTACTGCTGCCAAGAGCCAGGGTACTGCCCAGCCAGGCAAGAACCTGCAGGGACTGTGTGTGGATGTGGACAGCTGCCATCTAGTTTTATGATGATCTCTCACTTGAGTTGCTAACAGTTTTCTTTACCTGTGACTGGCATTTTGTCAGATCTAGTTGATGGTGAGCTAAGGGCATGAACTCAGTTTCTCCTGCTTAGTCAGTACCCTTAGTCAGAGTGTATGGAGGCTGTTTGTTGCTTTTGTCAATTACATTTTGAGGTCATAAGTCATCTTCAAGGAGGGTTATAGGCTCTTGTGTGAGACTCTTCTCTCCTATCTCAGGTACTACTGCTAGGAACCATCTTTCCCAGACACCGGGGCAGGCCTGGAGGACCAAGGATCAGCAACTGCCTGACAGAGAGTTTGTATTCAAAGAACCTCAGCTGGTAAATTGTTTCTCCTTCAGTAGTAACAAAGTTGTGCTTATACTATGGTTCTGTAGTAGGTACTCCACAGTGGCTGATAAGTTAACTTATGAGTAGCAGAACAAAGAGATTCTAATAATAATGAAATGTGAACTATTTTAGTTTTCTTATATGCCCGAAGTGTCTTTGTATTCTATCTTCATTGTATGGCTGTGTTTCTCTCCAAACCTTCCACCTTTTTTGGTGGGGTTTGTGTGTGTCAGGGAAGCTATACCGTGACTACCAGCTTAAGGTTATATTGTGACTAGAGTTTGCATGGGTTAGCCTAGGTCTAACAATTCTATAATGATGCTATCTTCAGAACTGTTACAGAAAATTCTTCTGAAATTTCAGTGATTATAGAAAAATGCCTGATTTTTAACCCCCCCCCCCCATTCCCCATAGGGAATAGATGTAAAAAACACAGATGATTCAGTTTTAGGGGAACAAGGATGTTGAAAGGGCTGGGGATCAAGCCCATAGTCATATGTATGGGAGGCCAGTGCTCTCCCTTGAGCTTATCTCCCAGTTCTTATTTATTTTCATGTATGTGTTATGCAAATACATGTTCATATGTATGGGTGCATGTGTGTGTGCCTGCATGTATGAGCAGAGGCCAGAAATGGACATCAGGTATCTTCCTCAATTGCTCCTCACCTTTTGTTAAGTCAGGATCTCTCAGCTGGATATAGAACTTTCTAATTCAACTAGTCTAACTGGCCAATTTGCCCTGGGAGTTCCCTGTCTCCACCTCCCACCTTCTGGCATTGCAGATGAGCCTCTGTGCCCAGTCAGCATTTAGTGTTGAGGGTTTGAACTTAGCCTCTTATGCTAAGTGCCTTATCAACTGAGCCATCTCCAGCCTCTTCACTTAAATAATAATAAATGGAAAAAACACAGTTTTAAAAGTAGGCATAACAATCAAGTAAATCAGTGGTTCTCAGCCTTCCTGATTCTGTAACCCTTTAATAGAGCTCATTACGTTGTGATGACCTCAACCATAAAATTATTGCTATCTTGTAACTGCAGTTTTGCTACTGTTATGAATGGTAATGTGAACATCTTTGTTTTCTGATGGTCTTAGGTAACTCTTGTGAAAGGGTCATTCAACCCCCAAAGAGGTTATGGCCCACAGGTTGAGAATAGCTAACATAAATAATTATTTGAACTCCTCTCAGAGTGTATCTTATAATTTTTTTTTTTTAAGTCTTCTTTTTTAGTAAAAGGTTTCTGCAGAGTTTCTGGCCAACAGGAAGGTTGATTAGGTTTTTTTTTTTTTTGCCAGCTGGAGAGAGGGACATAGTTCTAGGAATCGAAGAAACAATGCTCTGTTGGGGTAGTGGGGGTGAGGATGAAAAAAGGATAGCTACAAACATGGCTTGTTTGGGCTAGAAATGAGCGATATGGGTTCTTGGGAACCATCAGAATTTACATCTGCCTGTTTGCTTGCAGGTTGTGCGGACAGCCCCAGAACCCAGAGTGATTGAGTAAGTAAGCATTGTCCACAGTGCAGTGGGTGGCCAGGATCTTTCCCTCAATGAGTTTTCCATTTAAAAGAGAATGGCCCAGTAGCTTTTCATTTTTAGCTGGAAGGAATAGTCCTATCTCACTCTTTAAACTTGATCTTTTGAAGAGACTTTTTGGGTTTGCTGATGGTATAGAAAACACAGCAAGATCTCTGCATGTTGAGTTCTGCCTCTGGGGTAGATTTCCTGGTGTCTGTAATAGTAGGCTGGAAACGGAAGAGGCTTTTTCCTGAGTCACTGGTGCTTGGCTTGTTGAGAAGCCTGTAAGTACCATTTTACTAGCAGTCCTTATAAAAGCTGCTATCACCTAGATGACCCTGCAGCCCATTTATTAAAACCACAGGGTTGTTCCTGAGCAACTTAAGCAATACTGAATGTTCCTCTTGTATTGATCTGTGTCAGAAATATTCTCCAAAGCTGGTGAAAGATATTTTGGCTTCTTTTCTCCTGCTTGTCACTTTCCACCTGATGTATCTGTCTTTTTTCTGTTAGCATAAGATTGATGTTCTTGCCCATGAACGTCTGTTATACTATATAAATATTTGTAGGTTGACTTTTATAAGAATTTGAAAGTAACACAAATGTCAACATAATTTTAAAAATATCTACTTATATCTTTGCAACTAGTTATCTATATATTTAGCCCTGAGTTCTTTCTATCTCCATAGAGTTTGATTTTCTTCCTTATATGCTAAGGATTGGTATTCAGTCTAGGTCTTTTACTATTTGAATAGTAGCTGTACAATATAGCCTCCATCAGTGATAGAATGATCAAAGCCATGAAACCATTACAGTCAGGCTTAAATGGGAGGGATGCAACTGCAAGTTTGCAAGTCTAGAGAATAGTCACAGTATCTACCCCTGTTTGTTTAGGATTCAGCCTTGCTGTATCTAAGGTTAACACTCAAGACGTAGTTTGTCAGTTCCCAGAAATGTGCTCCATGTTTAAAGTGAGACAGTTTCTAGATAGAGCTCAGCATATCTCATTAAAGCATAGTATTCATCCCTTGGAACCTATATAGACAATTTCTGTAGAAATGTGGTCATTGTGACCTTGTGGTGCAACAGTAGCACATCTGACTTCAAGAAATGTGGTTCTTGTGAAATATATGCTAGCTATGCTCATTCAGCTGCCGAGGCTGAGAGGCTATAAACCACTGACCCCTTGAGAGAGGTGACATGAAAACCTTTGAAGTAGTAAAGACCTGTCTGCTCTGTTGCTTTTCTGCCAGAAAAAAAGAACATATTTGTGTTTCATACCTTTCCACATTTGTTTAAATCCATAGAACTTTCATCACCCATCCACTGTGTGTAAGCTGTGAGAATAAGCCACTCTTTGCCCCTTAAGGTACTCACAGTCTAGTGAATAAAATAGCCGTGTAAACAAGTAGTAGTTTTGTTCATAAGATCTAATACTGGCACAGGGTAAGGTGGGTGGTGTTACTGGCTCAAATTAATGGTCAGGGAAGGTTTAGAGGTGGGACTAAGTGAGATTTTTATAGGGGATGTCAGAATTTTTCACTGGGCCAGACTAGTTGACTAGGGGCTGCTGACTGGTAGGGAAGTATTCTAGCATACTATGTTAAGGGAATGCAAGCAGTTGATGCTGAGGATGGTGACTCTGTGGGCATTGTCAGAAGACAGGTCTAGGTCTCAAGGACCATGAATGCAATTATGGGGACACTGAAGGCTTTTTACTCAGAGGAAGAACTCACAAGACATCTATCTTTGAAACTAATGGAAGCTCTAGGTCTTGAGATGCATGCACTTGCCACCTGGGTTGTATGCCTCATTCCAAACTCTCTTTTGGTGATACATTCTTGGTTGTATCAGCCTAAAGTATGGATGAAACCTAGAGGGGTAGATAAGAGGTTACTTTCTCCCACTTTTGTCTCCATGGCCTGATCCTACCAGGGTTCTGTTCCCAGTACCATTAATGATTCACTGCCATTTTGCCCCTTGTCTAGCAGTTAAGGAGAGTGGAACTTATGCCTCCCTCACAGTGTTCTCTTTAGGTAACCAATCCCGGTGAGCCAGGACCTTGGGAAGGGGCAGGGGGAAACAGGGTGGATTATTTTGCCTCACACTAACATGGGCTTTTCCTCTGCTCTTTTTTTAGCAGGGAGGGTGTGTATGAGATCAGCCTGTCACCCACAGGTGTGTCTAGGTAGGTGACTTCTCATTGGAATGTGACGTCAGCTGTCATTGAGTTATCATCTCTTGAAATTGCCTTCTCCCTATTAAAGAACAAGACTTGGGTAATACCTCCTTTTTACAAAATATTTCTAGCATCAAAACATTTTCCCAGCTTCTGCCAGTTAGTATGAATACAATCTCATGAGAAAGCAAGGTCCAGAGAGACAGTCTTTTTCTGTATCACCCCCACTCCCACTCACAATAACTTATTGTCAGAGCTGGCTCTAGTCTTTGGTGAGTGCTTCATTACTATTGCTGAGTGTCATTGACTGTGTATATACCCATTATATAGTGTTGCCACATCAAGGTGAATTGAAGGTAAAGTTAAATCATATATTAAGTATAGTCACAATTTTAAAATATTTTTAAAATATCTTAATGTACATGTATATTAATTATCAGCATAAACCAATGAGATCAACAAATATATCAGAAATGACAGGAGCCTCTACTGGATATGGAGCAGCCCATAAAATTGGTTGGTGTGGCTGTTTAATTCCTTTTAGAGCCTCCCTGTCTTAGTTTTTATTGCTGTGATAAAGACCATGACCAAAAGCAATGTGAAAGGAAAGGGTTTACTTCATCTTACAACTCTCAGGTCACAGTTCATCACTGAGGAAGTCAGGGCAGGAACAGAAGCAGAGGCTATCTATGAAGGAATGATGCTTGGCTTGCTCTCCCTGAGTTACTCTGTGTTCTTAAACACCCCAGGGCTATCTGACCAGGGATGGTATTTCTCACAGTAAGCTGGGCCTTCCATCTCAACTGTCAATCAAGACAAACACCCACAGACTTACTATAGGTCAGTCTGATGGAGGCAATTCCTCAGTTGAGATTCCTTCTTCCCATATGACCCTAGCTTGTGTCAGGTTGACAAGCAACAACAAAGCAAACCAATCATCCAACTCCCTTTAAAGCAAAACTTTAATGTGAGAACATCGGCATTGTCTTGGTCAGCCAGGTCTTGTATTAACTAGGTAGCTTTAGATGATCCTCAGGGTCTTGTAAATCATGGGCACCTTCTGAGGTCTTGCCGCTGTTAAGACTGCAGGAGAGTGTGCTTCCAGGCTTTTCTTAGCAAAGATATACAAAATTACATTTTGGCTGAATCTGTAACAGGATGAGAATATATTTAGTAAAAAGAGACCTCATTTGGGTATGTTTGTTTTGATAGCCACGATAGTCTCTGTCTTCTAATGGATGCAGTTTTAAACACTATCTTTTGACCCCTGCATTTAACTAGTTACTCTCCATAGTGACTTTATGAAATGGATGTCATCTTTAGGTTACACTTTTGGAAACTGAGGGACATTAAGTGTCTGCCCCAAGGTTTTGAAACCAAGCCATGCTGGTAATCTCTGTCTCTCATCTCCTGGACAGTATCTTGAATACTGTTTGAAGCAGAAACCTAAAAACAGCCTCACACATCCCTCATCCTTCCTTGCGTCTTTAGTGGTACCATGAGTGGAGTTTGTTTTACATGAAGATCATGTGGGAGGACAGTGAAGTAGTCCCATCCTCCCTTTAAAGTGACGGTCTAATCAACCAATCCTCCAGTAGTTACTCTAGTCTGCCTTTGCAGTGTAGTTCAGCTAATGATGGTTCTTTCTGCCTTAAGGGTGTGTCTATATCCTGGCTTTGTGGACTTGAAGGAAGCTGACTGGATATTGGAGCGCCTTTGTCAAGATGTCCCCTGGAAACAGAGGATGGGCATCAGAGAGGGTAAGTAGGCCTCTGGGCCTGCACAGTCCCCATCAAGTGTTTTTAAATTCCTCACATCTGCTTAACACAGCTGGTCTCAAACAGGTTAAAACCCAAGACTCCCTAAGGGACAGATAGGAAGGAGTGCACCAGGGAGAAGCCATAGCCAGCAGAGGCCCAGATGTCAGGGAGAGTGGACAAGAGAGAGGCAAGAGCTCAGAGAGCCAAGAAAGCCTAACTGCCTCCTCTGTTAGTTCCAATGGTGCTCATTTCTTCTTTATAGAAGTTTCCAGAGCTTTCTTTTTGCTAATCCACTTGGCACACATTTTTCTGAAGTCCTTCTTACTGACTTTGTGTTCTCTGTTTCCTTTCACTGGAATCGGCCAGGCTCCTTCAGTTACAATATCTGCTCTCCTGATCTTGTAGAGATGCAGCACAATCGATTACCTTCCTGTGATTTGCCCCTTACTGTTGCTCTCCCTGCACTTGCAATGCCTGTGATACCACACATGGCCACGAGGTGGCATCTGTGCTCTGGCATAGATTCTTCCAGCAGGCCATGGCCTTGGAATTGCTTGTGAAAAAAAAGAGGCAAAGTGCAAGTAAACTGGCTGCCGTTGCTGCTTCCTCTTCTCCTTCCTCCTCCTCCTTCCTTTTTTTTTTTTTTTTTTTTTTAACATGGATGTCAGAATAGGAGCCAGCCTTTTTAAGGAATCCTTCTCCCTACTCTATTGTTTTAGCAATGCAAGTAATTGTTAACTTTGAGCAAATTACAGTTCAGTGACTCTGTAATTCTAAGTTTTCTTATCTTTTAAATTTATCTAATAGTACATAAATTATAAGATTCATATGTGAATTAAATAAATTAAAATGATGCATATCATCTGGTGTGTGTGTGTGTGTGTGTGTCCTTTAACTGGCTCCCCCCACCTCTTTTTTTTTTTTTTTTTTTTTTTTTGGCAGTTATGGGTCAAACCTGGGTCTTATGTAGGCTTACAAAACTCTACCACTGAGTACCCACCCTTATACTTAATCTTGTTGTTGTGCTTGATGTCTGTTGGGGAGAGATGGAAACCCCCTAACCTCTCTAAAGCAGTTTAGACACCATATACTTGTAACAAAAGCAGGTGTGTGTTACAGTTGCTGACACTTTTTAGATCAGAAGGCCATGTATAGTGTTGCTAGGACACATAGGTGACAGGGTTCTCTTGTTTTTCAAATGGATTATTGGTACCACAAATTCCTTTTCACAAGGTCCAGGATTCATATTCTGATTTTTGAAACCTTTTTTTGTTTTGTTTTGTTGCCGTGACTGAAACAAACTGATCATACACATTGCTTCCCAAGAGCCTTTGCCCAGGCTGTCCCTGCCAGCATGACTGCTTTCCTGTGTAGCCCTTCTAGCTTCCACTAGCCACCTCCCATATCCTGTCTGAGGAAGGGACTGGGTCAGCCTCCCTCTTCCTTTGTGCTCCTCATGCTTTTCGTCCAGTGCAAGCACAGATTGGCTGGTGGCAGCAGGCACACCTTATCAGCAGCAACTGTCTCAAGAGCCCTGTATTTTCTTTCTTAGATATAACTTATCCGCAACCAAGACTTACAGCATGGTATGGAGAGCTTCCTTACACTTACTCAAGAATCACTATGGAACCAAATCCTCACGTATGTTGAAATGTCACCGGTGTGGTTTTCTAGTCTATGTGTTGAGTCCTGGAAGTAATTCCTCAGAGAGGCACATGACAGTTCCTACTTCAGAAAGTCTCCTCTGGGTTCAGAAACCTCCTATTCCTCGTCCTCTGTGTGCTCGCGATTTGTAAATGAGCACAGACGATGGGAGGAAACTGGCACAGTGAGTCGGGACTGGAGTGGAGGGTCCCAAGGGAATGAGCTCTTGCTTCAGATGCCTCCTCCATGAACACTGCGGTGTTTGCTGTGCAGCACATCCCTGTGGCTGGCCAGTGAGGGTAGAGTGCCTTTCCATTTCTCAGCTCCGTTGTTACTTGTGAAAAAAAATCTGGGTTTTGTTAATTTTCTGTTTGTTCTGTGAGTACACTTTCCAGACTTCCTCCTCACTTCCACTTGGGCCTGTTTCTGCTGCTGCTTTTGTTTTTGAAGATTTCCATGATAGCTAGGCATGGTAGCACATACCTATAATCCTACAACTCAGGAAGCTAAGGCAGGAGGAGCATAAGTTCAAGGCCAGCCTTAACAACACAGTTAAACCCTATCTCTTAAAAAAAAAATTCCATGACAGTAGACAAAGATATTTTGGTATATAAATAAGCTTGTCCAAAGGCTAGAGTTGAGGTCCAAGAAATAGCTCCCTGTTTAGTTTTTGGACTCTTGCCGTTGACAAAAATGTTATGCTTTATTGAAAAGAGACTTTGAAGAAATGGAGTTTTGCTTATTCCTTTGGACACACAGAAGTGTGGCATGTTTTAGAGCCCTAGCAATGTAAGCACAAAGCCCCTGTGTGCTGAAGTACGGGTCAACATGGACCCAGTGTGGCTGTCACAGGAGGAGACTGATGCTTTGATGGGCCATTGCCTAGGCCTGGTTGAAGGCACACTTCAGAAATTGTGGAGGCTCCTTTCTCTGAAGTAGATTTGGAGACACTGAGGGAACAGAAGCTGCCCCCACTGTGTTACAGCCATTTGCTGGTTTGTCCATGGTCACAGCGGCGAAGGCAGGGGCTAAGCAGGAAGGCAGGGGCTAAGCAGGCTTGGGGAGAAGGTCCTTCATTTGTTTAGCTTGTCTTTCAGTCAGCTTTCTCCGCAGGCATTGCTGTGTATCTGTTGGGGGTAGTTCCTGGGCTAAGACCCACCATCTTTTAGAGTACACAGAAGCCACATAGCCTTGCTAAATACTATCTTTCACTTTGGAGGCATTTTTAAAACCACTTTTCAAAAGAATTTTTTTTTTAATGACAAGCTTTTTGACTCTTATTGAAATTGTAGTCTCAGCACTTTAGGAAAAGGTAAGAGGGCTCTAGGTTTCAAATAGTTAGACCCTGCCCTAGAAAAACAAACGTGGCTTGGCCAGTGCTAACCTGGCATGCACAAGGCCCTGGGTTTTGTTCCTAGCACCACAGAACATAAACCAAACAAACAAAACAAAACCCCCTTAAATGAATAAAACAAAAAAATTGTATTTCATTAACGAATCTTAGAATTAGTAAATGCACTACATGGATTTAATACCTATATAATATTTAATAGTTTTTTAATGCATTAATTTATTCAAGCAAGCCTCTTGTTGGACATTAAGATTGTCAGGATAGGGCTAGAAGGAGTCTTCAGCCAGGAAGTGCTTGCTGCACAGTCATGCAGACCTGAGTGTGAGCCATGCCTTCCAACCTAGGTGGAACAGCATAGTAGTTCACATTTGGAATCCAGCCTGAGAAGTATGCTGGTCAGTTAGTCTAGCCTACTTGGTGAATTTGAGCAAGTGAAAGATCTTGCATCAAAATAATAATGATAATAATAATAATAAAGAACTGGGCTACACCTATAGAATGATACTAGATGTTATCTTCTGGTCTCCAAGCATATACATGTACAAACACATATGTACACAAACAATTCTCAAATTATAATTCCTATTGTGTAATTTTGTGTGTTTATTGCTACTGTATTTAATACACACACACACACATTATTTTGAGATGCCTTATTAGATAGATAGGCTGGCTCCAAATTTCTGTAGCTAAATTGGCTTCAAATTCAAAATCCTGCTGCTGTAACCTCCCATAGTGATGTTAGAGGCATGGCCATAACACCCAGCTTTAGTCATAGGTTTTGAAGATTGTTTGTCTTTGTACAAACTGAATTATAATGGGCCCAATGTATAAAAGAGATTAAAACTTGGTCAGCTGCAAGTCTGCCAACATGACCTTCTTCCTGTAGACCCAGACCCCCGCTGTGGCACTGAGGCCACTCTGAAAACTGTTTCAAGTCTGTTCTGTGTTCTCACACTTTCCCTTGTGTGTCTTTTAAGGATAGATGCCTTCACTGAATAGCAAGATGATGCTGAATTTTAATTTAGACATTGAGTTCTAAAGGATCTCTATTTAGAGAATTGGTTAAAAGAGTCTAAATTAATCCTCCATTACCCAATCCATATCTCCCTTTCTCTATACTTCACTACCAAAAATAACCAAGAAAAAAACATACCCACATAGAAACATAAAGCAAACTTGATGTTTTCGCAGTGTTGAGTCCCAAGCAAGTCAGGCAAGTGCTAATGAGCTTCTCAGTCACATTCTAGAAAAGCCATCTTCTTTACATTCTTTTTTCTTGTTAAGTGTGTAATCCTAGCATCTGATCTCTCTCTGTGAAGGTAGATTACAGCTGGGAGATGGGCAGGAAGCATAGCTTGCCCATGTGGTAGCTGGGATTTCACTTTAGAATCTGTGCTCTTGAACAAGGGCCGGCTTATTAACACATATGTTTTGCTGTATTGACCTAAGTTCTGTTGGTTGTTACTGTTTCTTTTCTAAAGCCTCTGTTTAGTAAATGTGATGATGACAATTACAAAGAGGCCTGTCTTTCATTCTGGTTTCACATTGCTGGGCTACTCCAGTGCTTATGTGGCAGGGGCAGGGCCAGACTTGGTACTGCACTGTCCTCTCTGAGTACTCATTCTGTCACTACCAGGTGGAACACAGCTGTTCCAGAAGCTTCCTGAAGCAGCAGTTCTTGAAGCACAACCTGTGGGTCCAGGAAGTCTCTGTAGGGACTGCACTATGTTTTCACAGCAATGCCAAGAGTGTGTGTAGCATCTACTCTGATGCACCTCAGCACCTACAAACTGCCAGTGATCTCTGTGTTCCCCACCACTGTGCTCTCCCACTTAGAGCCTTCAAAATACCGAGTTTAGTTAGTGCCCATGAGATGGCTCAGTGGGAAAAGGCACTGGCTCCAAGCGTGGTGATCTAAGTTCAATCCCATGAACCCACATGGTAAAAGTGGAAACTGACTCCTGTAAACTGTCCTCTGATCTCCACATATATGCTATGCAAACATGGGTGCAAGTGCACATACACTAAAGAAATGCAGTTTTAAAAGTAAAAGGGCTATCGAAAGTTAAGAGCACTTGTTTTTGTTAGTGGACTTGGATTCAGTTCCCCACACTCATGGCTGCTCAAAACTATAACTCCAGTTATAAGAGCTCTGATGCCCTCTTCTGACCTCTGTGAGCCCCAGGCACACTCATGGTATAAATACATACATGCAGGCAAAACACTTGAACCCATAAAATAAAAATATGTGCACACAAAGTAAAAATAAACCTATTTTTTTCCAATTAAAAATAAAAATGCTAAGCCAGGCATAGTAGTGAATACTTTTTACTAAGACATCTGCCAGCCTGATCAACAAAGTGGGCTCCAGAATAGCCAGGGCTCTATAGAGAGACCCTGTCTCAAAAAACAAACTAAAAACTAATTTCACTTAAGGTTGGCCTTTTGAAAACCATAACCTTAGTTTTATTAAATCCTGGAATCCAAGTACATCTGAAAAGTTCACTTGATGATATTGAAACAATACATAAAGCATGTCTCCTTTAAGAACTGAGTGTGATTGAGTTGTAAGCTGCCCCCCCCATAGATTACTTTTATATAAAACTGGCAAACAGCTGGGCAGTGGTAGCTTATGCCTTTCATCCCAGCACTTGGGAGGAAGAGGCAGGAGCATCTCTGTGAGTTTGAGGCCAGCCTGGTTTACAGAGCTCCAAAGCTATAGAGACAACCTGTCTCAAAAATATAAAAACAAAACAACAAAAAGGACTGGCAAATATATCTCTTATTCAGATCTGAGAATCTGACTACTATTTCCTCATCAACAAATGAAATTAGTTTCACTTCAGTGAAAACAGTAGACAGGGTTTGTTGTCAGTGATAAAAGTTGAATTTTCAAGCAAACACCAGACTTTGGGGAAGCTAGCATCCATCACTTTGAGCCTGGCTTCTTCCCATAACCTAGACATCTCTGATGAGATTAGTGACTATTTACAGTCACAGTATTTACAGTTTCATTACTGTGTAATGAAATGTGTGAATGTTTAGAAGGTCTGTATAATTCAGCAACGGGTGTTTCCCAGGTGACAAGGGGCAGGTCTCACAAAAACCATACAAGGATAAACGGTCCATTCAAACTGTGATGTAAACCACTGGGTTTAAGTGTAAAAAAACAAGAGAAGTTGGAGGTAGTGTCAGATTCTTAATGGGGCTAACTCAAGAACCCCACCAGGCTGAGCTCAGGATGCAGTCACAGAACCCGCTCTCTGACAGGCTGTGACTAATTTTAGCAGAGTGAATGAAGAAGCGGGAGAGCTGGCTGCCTCCTGTGAAGACAGACATTGTATTTGCAAAGCAGGGCCACTCTTGCCACATTTTTATACTGAAATTACATTTTTCATACAAAGTTGCACAGATTTGTTGTTGCATTTTGAATGAATTACTAATGGTGTATTTATTATCTTGAGACAGGGTCTTGCTATAGCCCAGGCTGGTTTTGAATTCTTTGTTCTTCTGCCTCAGCCTGCCTGGCATTATAGCATGTACTACCACTCTCAGTTCAGCTTTAATTTTAATGAACAACAAAGGTTCAAGCTGGGCATGGTGGTGCACATCTTTAATCTCAGTACTTGGGAGGAACTCTGTGAGTTCAAGATCAGCCTGAACTACATGGCAAGTTCCATAGGCCAACCAGGTCTACATAGTGAGACCCTGTCTCAAGCAACAACAGTAAAATTCAACGAAGGTGTTTTTGAGACATCAATCTTTTAGTCATAAAAAGTTTCAGAACCACTGCCTAAAGTGTGTGCTGGGCTCTTGACACTTAGTGAGACACAGAACTCTAGGGGAGCCAGTGCACAGCTAAGACTGATGCTCTCAGCTTCCTGTGCTCATGGCCACACAGTGCAGACTACATCGCTGAACAGGGTATGAACAGCTAGCAGTGCTGGGCAGAATAATTAAGTCTGTAATTTTATAGCTCTTAAGAGTGTGTTCTGGATCCCATTCTATAGAAAAGAAGACCCGTATGTGTTTGTTGACATAGCATAGGACAGGATGGCCTCAGACTTGCCTCAGCCTCCCAAGTGCTAGGATTACTGGCACACACTACCATGCCAGGCTTTGGGTTCTATTTTTAGACAGTTAGCTACTCTAAATATTAAATATTTTTCAAGAGAGCAAATCTGGTGTTGAGAGTAAAATAGGAATAGGACGAATGAAAGGCCTCCAGGTAAGAGTTCTCTTTTTCCCTTGAGACTGTGTGTATGGACTCACTGGCTTGGTCAGCTTCACTGATGTACTTAGCACAGCACTCACTTTGCAGAACCATCCTGAACCTACTGGCACTGGCTTCTTTGCGAGGACATGCACTGCAAGAGAAACAGGAGATGGTAGACAGGCTCCAGCCTTCAGATTTAGTGCTCTCCTATAGTGGAGGAGGTTGACTTTCTTTAGCATAGAGATGGAGGGAGGAGACTAAGCTACTCCTCTTGCCTTCTGTTTATTACGTTGCCCCGCTCAGAACTTGTCTGATTGTGCCTTTCTTTCTGTTTTTTCATGGCTGCCTACTATGTCTTGTGTGCCTGTCCCTGCACTTGCTTTGGCTTGCTGGCAGTGGCATCCTGTGCTGTGCACTCTGAAGAGCCGCATTGAGGAGAACACTGGCCACACCTTCAACTCCTTGCTGTGCAATCTTTACCGGGATGAGAAGGACAGTGTGGACTGGCACAGTGATGATGAACCCTCACTGGGGAGCTTCCCCATCATTGCATCACTTAGTTTTGGTGCCACTCGGACTTTTGAGATGAGGAAGAAGCCCCCACCTGTAAGTATTCTCTGCCTTAAACACATGCTTTCTCTTACCTCCTAATCAGTGAAAAACATAGATCTTCTAAAAGGCTCTGTTTCCAGGACTAGAGGGTAGGAGTACGTGATATTGGTAAAACATTTTCAACTGATTGTTTCCTCCATTGGAAACGTGTGGCTACCAAAGTGCCCACTCATGCATTTGCTTATCCAACAGGAATTGTCTCCCCTATGCCAGGTCCTGTGGGTGACATAGTCCTTATCCCATGCAAGGCATCTGCTAAGTAGAGAATTTAAATGATTGCAACTGTGATGCATGCTATGACTGAAGAGTTACAGAAGGGTGACTTGGAGTTAGGGATATTCCGGAAACTCAAGAAACATGCCGTGAAGTGGTTGTCATTTCCTGTGTTCCTGTGTGGCATGCCACTCTTCTGTAAGGGAGCATCATGCAGATCCTCATTGCCTTCTTATCTTCTTCTGAAAGGTGTGTGAGCCTGTGACTTCTTGAGTGAGAAGAAGCTCAAACCAGATTATCAGGCAGTAGTATGCCTCAGTTGAGGTTGGGAAGCAGTGACCAAACTGACCTTTAATCTCAGTTTCCACCCTAGCTCTCATGTAGATTACATGAAAGGGTTAGGACTGTTGATCCCCAAGTCCAACCTAATGTTTTGAATCAAAAGCAAACCTTAGAACCAAGAAAGAGAGCTAGAAGAAACTCCCAAGAGAGGAAATTCACTAAGTCATCCTGAGTCTAGTGTTCTGGTTATTCAGTTCACATCCACATGGTTAAACCAGGCCTCATCAGTGTAGAGGGCCAGCAGGCTGTTTTGATTATGACCTAATTCAGGCCTCCTGACTTACTCAGAGCTCCTGTCTCTTCTACATCAGATACTTCTATAAGAATGCAATTAACAGGCCTATGCAGTGCCATTGGGTTTCCATGTGAGCCGTCTTATAGCACATTGAGTTATCTGGCTTACATGACATCAAACTCCAATTGCTGCTGCTCAAGTTTGCTTTGGTTTTGTTTCTACCTAAATTTTGCTTGCTGTTGGTAGAGCATTCTCAATCACCAGTTTAAGAACCGTGACTGTATTCTCCAACAACCTCATTGGAGACCAGGGAGTAGGAGTTTAGCACCAAACTGCCTGGCATTTGCTGGTGTCTTTTACATGGGCCTGCACTTGGATCCCAGGCCACACATGTGAAGAATCTTCTTGCCTTTGTAAGACTCCTGTATTAGAGATATTGGAGGAAGACTGTGTGCCTGATGGCTTCTCAGACCCTCTTCTCAAGCAGATGCTGGGACAACAACCCTTTTCCAAGTGGGTCCTGGGACTGCAAGTGTAGCTGTGAGTAAGCAAGACAGCTCCTCCAGCTCTAGTACTGTAAACTTTGGTGTCACCCTCTGTTTGGTTCTTCTCTGTTGTTTGCTTTGTTGCCAAGTGTTTAAGTCTTCAATGAGGTTTTTCTTTACCCATGAATATTCAGCACCACCCCCTTATGAAAAAAATGGGGCCCCTATTTATAGATGGGAACTTAAGAATTCCCAAAGTATGCTTTCTGGGTAGTTAGTTTCAGTGCACATGCAGTTCCCAGCTGCTAGACATTAGCAGTGTGTTGGTACCCAGAAACACCCCTGACTGTCTCCTTTCCCAGCACTAAAACTCTTCATTCTCTCCTAGAAAGACCTGTCTCAGGGACTAGGGCTGAAACTCAAAGTGCATGTGCAAGACCCTGGTTCTATCAGCACCATAAACAAACCAAGCAAAAACCCAGCACATGGTGAACAAGAACAACTTCTTGGCAATGGCCTGTTATGCTGTAGGTTGGTGCGTGGTCAGCAATCACATATAGCATTGTTTCTGGGTGTGGCTGTGTGGAACAAATCTCTGTTCAGAGAGAGATTGCCCACATTGGGGATGTCTCTTCGGGCTTCCTAAAGTCTGTTTTCAGGAACCTGGTGAAAGCATAGGTTGTGGAGTGATGAAAGAGGTCAAGTCCCCTTGGTATCCCTGGACTGCAACTGTGCCAGCCGAGTTAATGAAACATAATACATCTGCTAAGTGAGAAAATTTATCTGAGGTCTTGAAATAAAGTTGGCTGTGGAAATGAGTTTGGGAAGAAACATAAACTGTCAGGACCCCAGGTTACTGGCTCTAGTAAGTTTGGCTTCTGGCCTCATTTTAACTGGGATTGAATTTGGCACAATTCTTGTACCTACTCTCAATTTTGACTTTTGTTTAAGATGGAGAAACTGAATGTTATTGTGTTTGAGATTATAATCACACATTGGTGGTTACAGCTTAGAAGTTCCGCTCTTGAGTAAACACAGCACATGTTTAAACTTCTGAGGACTCACTCAGACTTCATTAACAGATTCCAAAACCCCGGAGCCCCATAAATGTAACCAAATGCAGAAGCCTTTCTTTGAGTTGACAGCCATGGAAATACTTCTCAGGGCATATATCTTATTGCAAATGGGCCTTTTCCTCAAGGATTCAAGGGAATCAACTCTTCAAATCTTTGTCTACTTTTCTGTCTAAATTCAGGTACTGGCTCAGAGAATAAAACCCATGACTCATAACCCAGAGTTAAACAGGATGTCACTCTTCTGTGTGGCACTTGGAGGTCTGACTCTTTGTACTCTTAGGTCCTGTCTCTGAATGTCACTACTGGTTGTAATTTTCCTGTCTGTCAACAAGACATTTGAGTTAGGTAATGGTTGTAGGAAGGACTCTTGTACACTCCTGTTAGCTTTGACCTATCAGAGGAGAGCTGTCACCTGTCTGATTGGTTTCTCATATGAAACAAATAAAAGGCCAAGAGATTTCCTGGGTTTCACACAGCTATGGAATTTTGAGACAGAGGTCCTTGGGGGCTACTTTCAAAGATGTTTTTTGTTTCTTGAGACAGCATCTCAGGTAGCAAAGCTGGCCTTGAACTTTTGAGCCTCCTACTTCTACCTCCCCAGTGTTCGAAATGCATTCACCACGATGCCCAACAAGAGCCAGAGAAAGTCTTGTTCCCACTCAGCTGCTTTTTTTTTTTTTTATCCCCCACCATTGGAGCAGTTGCTTGCTTTGCAGTCTGGCGCCTAGATCAGTTTGGCTGCCCCATGTTCTACACACTATTTCAAACAATTTTTCCCTTGCTGACATGGAAGGCGATCTCCAGTCCCTGCACACCCTCTGATTTGTGGGTTAAACATGGAATAACAAGGTGCCCATCCTTCTTCCTTCACTGTCCTCTGCTCCAAGCCTGTGGAGTCTTGCTCTAATTTTGATTTTAGAGTAAACTACTATTTCCTCTGGTGGCACACTAGTCTTCATTGGTCTTGTTCTGTACCCTGACCCTTCCTTTGTGTGGGTTAAATCAGAAACTGGCCAGTGCCAGCCTGTCCTGTCCAAAGACAGGAGAAAGCAAACCAAATACAATCAACAGACCTTTTGTACCCTATCAGAGTGGGTTCCTGAAAGCTTTTCTGCACTGCTTATCCCGAGCCCAGTTGTATTATCCAAACTACATCATGTTCCTGTTTGCAAAAATTAGCCTGGTTCTTTCCCCCATCTAACTCTAATTCTATATAGAAGCGCAAACTAGAAAAGGAGCTACAAAAGCCACTTGGCAGGCTGCTATTTCTCTGTCGGTTACCGTGGAAACAGTGATGGCTGGGGGGTTATTAGATAATAGCAGGAAGTTTGTGATGCACTGGAGGGTTAGATGCCAAAAGCCTTGTTTTTGTAGCAAATTACCTTGGATGAGCTCTTTTCCTGATCAGCTGAATCGTGCCTTTAGGAGGGGTTTCTCTCCACCTTGAGATGATTGAGTTGAGGCAAAAGTGGTTTCTCTCTGGCCATTCCTCTCCCCAGCACCTTATGTGCATCACATTGGAGGGGGTGGCTATAAAAGCAAGACTAATGGTAGAGTCTCTGAGAACATACTTCACTAGATGATTTGTTATACACTCCTGGGAACACTGGAGTATTAAAAAGTCAGCTTGATCATAAATATTGATTTTTCCCCCCCAGGACTTTAGAAAGAAGGAAAATATTGAGATCTAAAATGTTATGGCACTGAGCGGCTTAACCTTAGAAGCTGGACATGCTGGAACTGTGTGACATTCAAAGTTATTGACTGAGCCTCCACCACAGGCAGTGACCCCCCTCTGCTACAGTTTTCAGTTATTATCATCTGTCCTTTGAATTGTTTTGAGGCAGAGTCTTGCTTGACGTAGCCACCCTGGCCTCAGGCTCACAGTTAGCCTCCCAAGGACTGGCATTACTGCTGACCACCATCCAGGCTCCCTCCTTTTCACTGAGCCATCTTGATCGCAGCATCTGCCCTGAGAGCTTACAAGAAACACTTGAAAGAGGTTCTTTATGACCTGTTATTCTCAGACACCCTGCAGTGAAGGTCAGAAGATCAGCCTTGCTTCCTGATCCTGCCCCTGGGCTGGGAAGCAGCACTTACCTATATTCTTTTCTCATAAAGGGAAATGATCATTGGTAGTGACTTCAGGGGAATCACTGAAACGCTTTCCAAGACAGTTGTTGGGGTAATTGGTGGATTTGAGCTATCCTAAATGGTATGTTCATTGAATACTTAGAGCTAAAAAGGGAAGTAAATATAAGAGTGTAATGGGGTTCCTGGAATGGGACAGCCACTGGATCAGAAATAGTGAGGGGGTTTTTGAACTCCTTGGAGGGTGGAGGTTTGGATGAGAAAATAAACATGCATGGTGAAGTGGCGAGGAAATAAAGATACATTGTCCTGTAAGACTTGAATTGCCTTCAGACTTGAAACCCTGAAAGACTTGGAATTGTCATTTGCTACCTGGGAACCTTGTCTCAGCTAGAATTTGTGTCTGATAGGTTCTGGAAATAACTAGTTCCCAAGTTTTTGTTTTGCTTGTTTATTTGTAAAGAGTGTCACTATGTGGCCCAGGTTGACCTGGAATTTTGGATCTTCCTGCTCAGCCTTCTGTATGTCAGACTGTAAGTATGCCAGCACGTC